TGCATTTGGGCAATGTTTCACAATCCTACCCTTAAGTTCCTGCAGAAGTGGTGGGTGGATGCCATCTGGTTCCAGGGATTTGTTTACATTTAGTTTGTTATTTAGGCCTGGAACATCCCACGGGCTTAGCACTATTTCATTTAATAACTCTGACCTATCTCCTACAAAAGTCACTTTCAGAGTGGGAATCTCTCCAAGGTTTTCTTCCATAAGATGAAAGCAAAGGATTCTGAGACCAGCTGCTACTCTGGTTTAGAGTCATCAGCTGTCCCACAACTCCTCTGCCAGTTCCCTTTTTATGTATTTAAAGGAACTGTGGTTATTAGTCTTAGAGGTCCCTGCGCGGGGCTTCTCAACATCACTTCTGAGCCATCTGTGGGGTCCCATGCTCTCCTAGGCTCTCAAAGATGCTGCTTTTCCTGAGGGGACGCTTTAGGCTGCAGGTGACCAGGTATTTGCTCAAGTGCCTGTTCTGACTTACATAAAATAATGTGTCTAGGAAATTATTACCTCCATAATAATGGAGGAGGGGGAGGGGGAGGACGAACCTTGCCCATGAGCAGGTACCACGTAAACCGAGCTCACGTGCCCCAGGAAGTGCCTGTCCAGGCCCTGAGGGAGAGGCATCAGAGCATAATCCATGCCCGGAGCACAGATTCCAGGTTTCTACACTTACTCCCTCAGTGATCTTGGCCTAGTCAATCTCTCCGTGACTCAGTTTCCCCATTTGTGAAATGGGGGTAGTAATTACAACTTATCTTGTGGGACTGTTGCAATGAATTAACATAGAGAGACATTTAGGATAGTGCCTGGTCCATTAAAAGTACTAAGAATTAGTTATTATTAGACTGAACCTTATTAAATTGCCAATACTTGATTATTTTGACCTATAAAAATAATTTCACAAGATGCAACCTAACATTATCACCATTATTCTATTACGCCAGCCCAGGCTGAGGGCCAGAATTGCGGAGGCCCCCTCTACCATGAAAGAGTCTTGGTGCAGCTCTGCTGGAATCTCTCATTTGAAGCAGCCTATGGCCCAGAGGATGGGGCCATTCTACCCCTACAGCACCTGTGCATGGACACGCCTGAGGTTCCCTTGCTCAGAAGTCTCAGGAAGGAAACTTCTTTTTTTGTTGTTGTTGTTGGCCGCGCTGCGATGTGGGATCCTAGTTCCCTGACCAGGGATCAAACCCGTGCTCCCTGCAGTGGTAGTGCAGAGTCCCAACTGCTGGACCACCAGGGAAGTCCCAGAAACCTCTTAAAGTGAGCCTCCTGTGTCAGTTTTTGGTCCCCTCTCCCAGGCAGACCCCAGACAATCGCCCAGCTAGTGAGAGGCAGATGCCTTTCTTCTGGGCACTCTCACCACAGCTGGGGCACCGCCCTTTGCCCCTGCACCCTCTGAACACCTCCTCTCCAGCCCCATTTGGTCATCCAGCTTGGTTTCACCCAGGATTAGCCTAGCACGGTTTACTCAGAGACTTGGGTTTCTAAAGCTATCTTCACTTCACTGCTCCCTGGACAGAGTACATTGCAGGAAGTAATATTAGTGCTAATAAGCTCACTGTTTTGAGGGCCATATGCAAAGTACACCAACACCTTCACATGTAATGATCTGTATAATCCTCATAATAGTCCTAGGAGGTAAGTACTCTCATCCCCATTTTACAGGTAAGAAAACTGAGGCATAGAGGGCCAATTTACTTGCTTAAGGTTGCACATCTGGAAAAATGGCAGAGTTAGGATTTGACCCCAGGCAGACTGACCCCAGAGACCGTGGCTTAACCACTGTACTATTCTGCACAGTCCCCAACTTTAGAAGGAGGGTTGCTGCTTCACCCTATACCCTCAGCTGGCTCCCCTTCTCTGCTCTTTAAGGGTGACACATCACCAGTCTGCTGAAGCTGCCACAACTCTAACTTTTATATCTGCAGCTATACTTCACCTGGTTTTTCTTCGAGTCACTCAGCTTTTAGCCCTAAAAACTTCTCTCCCCCAGGCTAGGCCTGTTTGGCTCTCTGGGATACCTGTATTCACTGACAGAGCTTCCTCTGCAGTGATTTAATGGCAGGCAGCCCTTTAGCAGTTAGGATGTCTGGGCCTTCTTTCTCTACAGAGGTCACAGAACAGCATCTCACAACCCCACACAACGCTCTTCTGCCCTTGTTCCTCACACCCGTGCCATGCTTCTGTCTCCTAAGGGACACCGTTCATCTATCCTAACAGAGCCAGGTGCAGTTTTTCTTTTATTATTCATAGAATTATAGAACTACGGAGTTGGGAGGAACTTTAATCACCCATTCTGTTTTGTCTAAAGGAAAGAGGGGAGACTCCTCTATGAGTAGGACTAGCTGAGGTGCTAATAAGCTGACAAAAAGTCCACTGTCATTCTGTGGGTTAGTGCAGAAAGACCTCAGGTCCATCAGATAATCGAATATGCTACCCAGCATAGAATACCTCCATGTCTACCAGAGTTTTAAAGTCACAGACTATTGTCCTGTACCCTATTGATATTGTGAATGGCTAAAAGCTATTCCAGGAATCACGTCCACCTCCCTGAGCTAATCTCGGAAGCACTTTTATCACATATGACAAGGCCCTCTGAGCCTGGCTCATGATAACCAAATTAGACTTCGTGCTCTCGATATCCTGCCCCACCTCAACCACATTATCAAAACTGACAGCTCGCCCAGCACGTGGCCAGTCCGGGCCCTTTTCCTCATTTATCCTAGGGCGTCACACATGCTGCTGGTTGGCAGAAGCTGTGGCTCTTTATTCACTGCCTGCAGCCTCGGCCCCATGGCTACCACCTACTCACAGAAGCCCACACTTTCCCTTTTTCTTCCAAAGCCCTTCCTTGGGCAAATTCGGTCCTGTCTTTCCATTTATCTGCTGAACAGGCTTCTGTGCTTTAACCACCTAACACCAATTATAGAGTGGGACCTCCCCGGGGGTCACTGGGAGATGCTGCTGTTCTTGAGAACACCTACGGTATCAGTTAGAACTTAGAAAAACATTCAACCTCCTCTGGCTTTTTCCCCTCCCACTTTTAAAAGGAATATCTACCCATTAAAACGAAAACAACCGGGCTTCCCTGGTGGCGCAGTGGTTGAGAGTCTGCCTGCTGATGCAGGGGACACGGGTTCGTGCCCCAGTCCGGGAAGGTCCCACATGCCGCGGAGCGGCTGGGCCCGTGAGCCATGGCCGCTGAGCCTGCGCGTCCGGAGCCTGTGCTCCACAACAGGAGAGGCCACAACGGTGAGAGGCCCACGTACCGAAAAAACAAAACAAAACAAAAACAAAAACAACCCCCAAATCCCTCAGTTCAGCAACATACAAAGCAGAAAAACAAAAACCCACTGCCACCCCCAGATATTACGACCATGAACTGCCTTCAGGCCTCTCTCTCTGCAGATGGCAGAGCCTGGCAACCTGTCTCCTCAATCCCCACTCCCCGTCCCCCTGACCTGGGCTCCCTGCAGCAGCTGCCTGGCTTCCGCCACCTCTTCAGTCTTCTTCACCTCCCCCCCTCGGGTTCCACGACGCTGGGCTCCCACTGGTCACCTCCCTGCCTCCTGGCCTGTCCGCCTCGCCTCCCTGACCTCTTGCGTAGGAGGGTGCAGGGCTCAGGCCTGGCCCTCTTCTCTCCTCTGTCCACTCCCACCTCCATCGGATCTCACGCAAGGCGCTGGCTTTAAAGACCATCTAGCCAAAGGCTCCTAAACATACATGTCCAGCCAGATTGCTCTCTCTTTCGACTCCAGACCCCTAAGGTTTAATCTCCCTATTCTACCTCTCCATTCGGATGTCTAACTGCATTAAGAATCCGACACGCCCAAGGCTGAACTCCCGATCTTCCTCCGTAAACGTGCTCCTCCTACAGCTTCTCACAAACTGTAAAGCCACCCTGACTCATCCCTTTGTCATACTCGACACAAAATTCCTCAGGAATTCCTGTTGGCTCTACTCCTGTTGGCTCTATATCCAAGCTCAGGCCGCTTGTCACACCTCCACTCCACCATCCAGGTCCAAGCTACTGTCGTGTGTTACCTGGAGGATGTACACTAGCCTCCTGGGTGGTCTCCCTGCTTCCAGCCTTGCCCGCACCTGCAGTCTACACCAGAGTGAACCTCTGAAACCGTAAGTCAGATCATGTCCCTCCTCTGCTCAGGACCCACTTCCACTCAGAGTAAAACCCAAAGTCCTTACTCTGGCTACGAAGTCCTCCATGACCTGGGTCCCTTGTGACTTCTCTGGCCTCACCTCTTCCTACTCTTCCCTTGGGCCACTCTGCTCCAGGCCACACTGGCCACCATCATGGTTCCACCAACAGCCCAGGCACATTGCGACCCCATGGCCTCTGCAAGCCTGTTCCTCCTGCCTGGACGCTCTCCCCGCAGATCCCCAGATGTCCACATGGCTCTCTCTCTCACCTTCTCCCAGCCTTTGCTCAAACGTCACCTTCTCAGTGAGCCTATCCTGACTACTTTGAAACTGCAACCTGTCCCTCCCCTACCACCTAATAATTCCTTTATCCTGCTCTACCTTTAAAAAAATTATATTTCTTATCTCCTTCTAACATTCATTTTAATTTACTATGTACTAGGCTTTTGTTTAAAGTCTCTCCCCAACTAGTATGTAAGCTCTACAAGAACAGAGTTCTCTGTTCAACTTTCTGTATGTCCTACTCCCTCAGTGGTGCCTAGTATGTTGCAGGCATTCAACCAGTGCTGGTCAGCAAATGACTGAAAGGTCTCTTAGACCCGCCCAGCTGCTCTGCAGCCTTTCTGGCACTAAGACCCTTTCACACTGAAGAACTGTAGGCCCCAGTGCCTTCCTGCCAACTGGGAAGGGCACCCTCTTGTGAGCATCCTTTCTCCTTTGCTCTTTCCAGCCAGGTACCTGCTGTGGTAGCTTCTATGCGCACAGCCCCACTAGCAGGATGACTCCCATTCTGACGCTCATTCCCCGTGCAGGCTGAGCTCCAGGCCACTCACCTGAAAGTCCTCCTCATCCAAGATCTCTTTCCTCCACTTGATCAAGAAGGCTGCACACACGTAGAGATGAAAGTGGGAGAACCCTTCGGGTTCAGACTGGGAAGGGAAAAAAGAGTTAGGTCTCCAAGCCCCCTCAGAGCCAATCCTTCTGCAAGGTGGGAAAGCAGAACAGCACCCCTTTAATGGCTGGGTGAGCAGAGGCCTGAAAAGATTTAGCAGAGGCCCTGCCCATGAGGCTAAGGCAGACACAGAGGTAGAAAGGAGGTGGCGGGAACTTCCGAGCAGCTATACTGCACACCCGGCAGGGAGCTGGGTGCCTCAGGGACAGCCTGGCATGGAGAGGGCAGGGGTCTCCTCATACCTGGTATGTGTCCCACAGGCGGATGGTGCAGCGAAGGGGAAGCTCCCGCATAAGCAGGTTGTTCATCCAACGAAAGGCAAACTGTAGGTATTCGACCTCGTACCTCCTGAAGTGATTATGTACCTGCTCTGAAACAGAAAGTGTCATTGGCCCCCTGAGAGTCACCTAGGGGACTGGACCCTGAAAGAGTCACATGAGCCAAAAAGGTGGTTTCCATTTCTTTTCAGCCACTCTCCCTGGAGAAGCCAGACACAGAGGGGCCAGACGGGCATCTGACCATCCTTTACGTTTGATTCCACCACCTCACAGCAACACTGCATGGTTACGACTCAGCCCTGCATGTAGTAGAACTATTTGAACACCCCACAGTGATATTCTAGGGACCTTTCTTCCTTCGCATGGCTGCTCGAGCCATAGAGCAGGAGACATAAGGCTCACCTGGCTGCTTGACCTTGGTACTCATCAGAGAAGAACCCAGAATGGAAAAGAACGGTGCGAGTCACCTTGGTCATCCTCCCACCAGTGAGGATTCCTCTTCAGCATCCCTGACAGATGGCAGCTAGCAGGGACTTAAACCGCCAGTGAAAGATGTTCACCGACTCCACTCAAGGGCAGCCTCACCCACTGATGATTAAGTGATTCACCAGAAAGTGCCTCGTCGACACCAGCAGACACTACCTCCCTCCCCACTCCCGCCCCTTGGTATTGGTGTAGTATTCTGGAGCAAACCAAACAAACCTGACCCCTGTTCTACATGACAGCCCCTCGAATACTGCTTGACACGATTAAAAAAAAATCACTATCCTCCTCGGTTTCCTAATCTATAAATGGAGATAGTCATCCATACCTCAAAGTCTGGGGGAGAATAAAATGAGAAAATAAAAGTGCTTACACCTGCATGGGGCAAATACTTAATAAAATTTTTGAAAGAGTAACTATCAACAATGGTTATTTCTGGGGAGTAGAATTTAAGGAAGGGGGAGGATTTTTACTTTTTATTCTGTGTTTTTCTCAAGTGTCTCAATTTTTGTAATGAGTAAGTATTACTTCTATAATTCAAAGCATAAAGATACATACATTTAAAAATCCACCATCCTAAAGTACTGTGCCTGTATTTTTCAGGTATTTTTGAGGGCTGGAAAAAGGAAAAAAAAAAAAGGACAGGCCAGGAAGTGGCAAAAACCACAGCTCCGACCCTCTGGAACCTGGCCCTTGTCAGACAGCTTAGCACAGGCCCTATACCAGGATCCAAGTGAGGGATGCAAGAGAGCTGGATGTGGGCCCCATCATGGAGCTAGCAGCTGGGCCAGGGCAATAATGCAAAGAGGCTAAAAGTATCCCACATATGATGCACAGGATAAAAATAGTAAATAATCAAACATGCTGGGAAGACTGAAATCCTAAGTCATAAAAGGAAGCTGGAGTGAGTGGAACAAATCAGAGAAAGTTTTCACAGAAAGAGAACCTGGGTAAGGAGAAAGATACACAATCTCTATACTGGGGAAAGGAATGCTTTGGTGAAGCAGAAAAATCCATGATAGAAAACCAGACAATGGGACTTAACAGTTGTGTAGTAATTGGTGGAATTAATTGGTGCTAGAGATTCCTCTTAACAGAAGACCTCGCTGTCAGACCTCTATGTGACAGTAATTCCGACTTCTCTCCCTGGGCCTCAGTTTTCTCATCGGTCAACAGCAGGGCTTCCCGAGTTGCCTTCAGTTCTAACACTCCATGATTCCATGCCAGAGCCAAGGACTTACTGTAGGGCTCCTGTTTCTCAAAGACATTCTGCATCAGGAAGCCACGACTCATATTCCCCACCCAGACAGGTCACAGGGAGCTATGGGACGTCCTGCTGGGGTATCAGCCAGACCTGGGGACCCGGCATGGAGCCCAGGAGTCCTGATTCACATCACAGCATGAAGGACAAGGTCAGACTACCTCTGACTTGATGCTAAAAGCAATGGAGAGCACATGAGGTTTCAGAGCAAGAGGGACATGACCAGAACAGTGCTTTGGAAAGATGCAGGCGTGTGACAGATGGTGTGGAAGAACAAAGTATGGAGAAGGTAAGTCCTTTTAGGAGGAAGTTGCAAAAACCCAAGCAAGGCTGGACCAGAGCTGTGGCTATGGACATTGAGAAGAAAGAGTGAATTTGAGGAGAGATGCTGAAGGAGGACTGATAGACCTCAGTGGTAGAAAACTAAGGAGAGAAAAGAACTTGACATAACAGCAGAGTTCTCACCTCACCTTCCGGTTGAGACGTGGAAGGATGCCAGTGCCGCCAACAGCACAGAGTGAATTGAAAAGGGTCATGGCTAGGAAGGGGGCTGAGTTATGTCCACAAGCATAACTGGCTTGTGTCAGAATCACACTGTGCTATTGCTAGAGAATTCTTCCTCTGAACCTACCATCAATCCGACTGACAAGCTCTTCTAGTGCCTTGACCTTCTTCTGGATCCCTGGTTGTGCAAAGGTGTAGTTATCCTGCAAACAACATAGGACTCAGGATGAACAGGGATACCAAACAGTCGTGCCACCATCCCTCAAATTCACTGAAATACATTTATAAAACACAAGCTGTTTTTCCGAAGCTGATGCCAGTGTTTTGGGAAACAAAGGAATCTCACAGAACAGCAGAGTGTGAGGAAAGCCTAAAAGAGCCCTATGCTGTGGAGGCAAACAGCACGGCCCGGGAGCACAGAGGAAAGGAGGGGCACAGTCTGATGACAAGGGCAGGACAACATGGAGACCTCCTTAGGCTTTAGGGGACACTAGACCGTTGCCTTTTGAAAGCTGTAAAACTAATGAACGAGGTAAAGATGGATGGACCAAAACGGGGAGGAGCCATGCTGGGTGGAGGGGCCCTGTCTGATGCAGAAGAGCAACAAGGAACCCAAAGGGCTGCAGGGAGCCCCAACCCAGGTGTCCCACAAGGGCAGAACCACTCACCTGTATCCCATCCAGCAGTTTGCTCATGCACCAAAAGCTGTCGGCTTCTATGCTTCGCAGCATGTCCTGAGACAAATTGGTCACGTCAAAGTTCTCCACGTCCTCTTCTGTAAAACAAAAGGTGAAGAAAGTCCAGAGGCCTTCTCCAAAAAATGGAGAGAGAAAGACAGAGTCTAGTATCTTCAGTGGGGTCCTTAAGGCCAGGAGAGAGCCAGGCTAACATGATGGCAAGGAACAGGGGCCTGCCCTCCCCGTCCCCTTGTGAGGTGGGCAAACGTGTCCCAGGAAGGCTCTTGAGGATCTCCTTACAACGCTGAACAGGCTATTTCTCACACCAGTTTTGCTGGGTCCAACATATCTTCCTCTTCCACTGCATTTGTTCATTTAGTTTGAGGAAAAAAAATACTTCAGGCATCCTGTTCAAAGAGCTATATCCAGGGGCTTCCCTGGTGGCGCAGTGGCTAAGAGTTCACCTGCCAATGCAGGGAACACGGGTTAGAGCCCTGGTCTGGGAAGATCCCACATGCCGCGGAGCAACCAAGCCCGTGTGCCACAACTACTGAGCCTGTGCTCTAGAGCCCGTGAGCCACAACTACTGAGCCCGCATGCCACAACTACTGAAGCCCATGCACCTAGAGCCTGTGCTCCGCAACAAGAGAAGCCACCGCAGTGAGAAGCCCGCGCACCACAACGAAGAGTAGCCCCCGCTCGCCGCAACCAGAGAAAAGGCCATGCACAGCAACGAAGACCCAACGCAGCCAAAAATAAATAAAATAAAAATAAATGAATTTTTTAAAAGAGCTATATCCAGCCCCCTGGAGATGGTCTGGAAAAATTCTTTGATTTCAGAAATTCACTGAACTGTCTAGCACACTCACAGGTAGTGAAAACAGGTGGGATCAGGTAGCCCCAATAGTTCATTTTAAAGATGGGATCCCCCAGTTCTGACAAAGCAGACCCATGGCCTCACCACTCAGAAATGAAGATGAGTGTGTGAAGGAAGATGGCCCAAACCCGTGAAAGCTCCCAGGATTCAACCTCACCAATCTGGTAGTTATCAAGATGGGTTCTGCAAAACCTCAATCCTATAGGATACTCAAGAAAAATGGTTCCACAGACAAATATGGTTGAGAAATGCTGCATTATATATCCTCGTCTTGGAGATTCATGAAGATCATAGCACACAAAAGGATTTGAGAAGTTATTAGACATTCTGCATTAAGTAAATCTCCTTAACCTCGCTTACCCAGCATTTCCCCAGCTTCTTTAGCCATGGGACCTCTTTTAAAGAGGATCGCCTATTAGCTTCTCATGGAAATCCCACAATAAATGACAAGAGTGAGAGGTTGTCCATCTGGTCTGAGATACAAGCGGGGAGAACAAAGGAGTCTTCTAGAAGAAGGAAGAGGCCATGTGATGTTTCCTTCCTGCCAGAGAGAGGTGGACAAGACAGGCCACCTCAACCTACAGGTCCCTGCATGCCTGTCAGAGGCCACACATGGAAATGCTCAGGCCCCTGAGTTCTGTGCCAAACGCAGCTTATCTCCTTGGAGCCCTGTTTTGAAAACAGGGTGTTCACTGCAGTCCCTGGTGCTGCAGAGAGACACAGGCATATGATGAAGTGTATTCTCTTTCATTTATGAGAATTATTACTCTATTTAGACCTACATCTGGACCTTCTTGGGGAAATGTGTAACAACTCTCAGATTCTCATCCTACATAAACAGCGTTTTTCTAATGGACATCAAGGGCTGTAAAAACCCTTTTGGGGAGGGCGGGGTGCTTTGTCAGAAAAGCTATGACGCTGGGAACAGTGTAAAAGTCCATAGTTAATACAAGTAAAGTGTCAACAACAGTGCCTGGCACACAGTAGGCACAATATAGTTTATTTTAGATGAAGTTTACTAGGAATTTATAATGACACGGGAAAGCATGTCACAGCATTGAGGGAAAAAAGTACAAAATTATTTATGGTTTACTCTCAACTACTGCACATACAATATTTATGTGTTTATATAATCACAGAGGAAAGACAAACTATACCACAAAGGTTTACAGTGCTTATTCCCAAGGTGGTAGGGATAAAGAATTTTTATTTTCTTTAAGCCTTACTATTCAAAATTTCTACAATAAGCATAATTTTTATAGTCAGGAAAAAACGCACATGATTTTAGAAAAAAGGGGCTACCATTGACTACATCTGCCTTTCACCATCAAAAAAGAACAAACAAGATTTTGTAAAACAACACTAAGCCTGAAGAAATGAAGACTTCAGATAATATATAAAGGTCCGTTTAAGGAACCACACAAAAAAAATCATTCCAAAAATACCATCTTTCTATTTTTCTAACTTAAACACTTATTGTATAGTGGGGGCTTGTGTGTGTGGGGGGGTGGCCATATATATACTATTAATTTAATTAAGTGATACTGGGCTCTAAGACCCAGCTCAGAAACTTCCTTTTTCTTGTTGCTTCGTCTTACATTTCTAAGATCCTTCCGTGTTGCTGTACAGACCTCTAGTTCACTGCCCGACACAGAGCACCACCCTTTTACATATCCGTTCCCCCCGTGGATGGATACCCAGGTGCCTCCAACTCCCACTACCGCGAACAATGGCCAGAGGAACCATGTGAGAACCACTGTGGGCCACAGGTTCAAGTGACCTAACCATAGGTACCACCAGACCACTCTCCAGGACCAGACCCCCAGCAGTGTGCTAGGGAAGCGTGTGTTTTCCTTTTTAGTGAGCGAGACTGATCACACCAACCGTCCAAGGCAGTAGTTCCCTCTTTATGAAAACAGGGTTGTGGAACTTCCGTGGTGGTGCAGTGGTTAAGAATCCGACTGCCAGTGCAGGGGTCAGGGTTCGATCCTTGGTCCGGGAAAATTCCACATGCTGTGGAGCAACTAAGCCCATGCACCACAACTACTGAGCCTGCGCTCTAGAGCCTGTGAGCCACAACTACTGAGCCCATGAGCCACAACTACTGAGCCCGCATGGCACAACTACTGAAGCCCGCACGCCTAGAGCCCGTGCTCCGCAACAAGAGAAGCCACGGCAATGAGAAGCCCACGCGCCACCACGAAGAGTAGCCCCCGCTCGCCGCAACTAGAGAAAGCCCGCGTGCAGCAATGAAGACCCAACACAGCCAAAAAATAATAATAATAATAAATTTATTAAAGAAAAAGAAAATAGGGTTGTAAGAAAAAAATGAAACCCACAAGGAAGGCTCAAGACAAAACCACCCCCACTATTCATACACATTTCCCAAAAGAAAATCCATAGTGCCACAATAATTTGAAGGGTCTTTTCCTACCTGGGCATTCTACCATTCCAGAACATTGCAGCAGGACTGTCACTAGGAATGAAAACCACACACAGCAGAGTAACAAGGGAGAAAGAGCCTGGGTCCCCAAGTAGACTGGGGAGCACAGCTGCCACATCAGCCCTGGTGCCCTGTGGCTTTCCTGTCAGACAGAAGAACACGTGGCTAAGAGCAAAGACTCTGGAGCCAGACTGTGTGGCTCAAATCCTGGCTCTGTCACTCACGAGCTATGCGGCTTTAAGGTAGTGACTTTACCTTCCATGCCTCAACGCCTCATCTGTTAAGGTGGTAATATCCTACCAATGTCAGTGCACACTGTAAGGATTAAACAAGTCAATACACGAAAAGTGCTACCAATGCCTGTCATAAAATAAGCATTATGCAAATGTTAGCTAGTATTATTGTTATTATATGAGGAACAAATAAACTTCTACCTCGTTTAAGCCACTGTTATTTTAGATCTCTGTCATTCGCAGCCAAACCTAACCTAATTCCAAACGTACCTAAAAAATAAAAGTCAATTTTCAAAGCTTTCCATTTCCACCTTCTGGTCTCAAGGAAGAAAAATGAACATAAGGTTTAAGTTGGTAAGATACAGCTCTCAGTAACTGTGCCAGTTCCAAACCTTTAGCTGTCCAGGGGGAAAAGGGACCAGACAGGATGCTGAGCCCTCTCTTGGGGCCTCAAGTTGCGGGTTGTTGTTTCCCCATGTTCTGCCCTTACGCCTGGCCTGCCCGTTAGCCCATGGCTTTCACGGTCAGTGGGAGAGCTCACCAGCATTCCAGAGAGGGGGAGGAGCGTTTAGTTTTAGTGTTCTGGCTGCTGGGAGGATAAAATTCACACATTCAGTCAAAAGCTGTGAGCTGAGTGCACCATCAAAAAGCAGCAGAGAAAGGGAGGCCCAAATGCTCTCTGAAGGGCTTCATTCAGCATAAACAGTCTGTTCAGAAGGATCATTAAACGTCCCACTTGAGAAAATTCAACATATAACTGAAGCTGGAATGGGAAACCATGCCAGCAACACAGTCTCCAATGAAGGCAGCGTCTCTGGTGGTCATTATGCAGCGTTCAGCAGCCAGGACTCAGACTGGAGGGAATGAGATTTTAAGGGATATTTTATGGCTGTTTTAAGACACAAAGCATCCAAAAAGAGGAAACCCAAAAGTTCTTTATAAAAATCAAATTGCCTATTCCGGGCTTGACAAGAACATGCTGTCAAGCCCGGCATTATTAGCTGATAAAATGTACCACCTGAGTGGTAGCCCCAGTCAAGTATTTATTTTTCTGAGAACTCCAGATCTCGGGCCTAAAATCAGCCTCACCTATGCCTCAAACACTCCCCTACAGCTTCGGGAAGAACGGCTTTTGCTTAAACTGACAAGAGTTAACTTGTCCATTAACTGCTTTAGGCATTTCCCAGGAACCATCTGTGATCTCAAGGCAATTTCTAGATTTTGTGATCTGTTGAGTCAGAATTAATCAGCCTAACTGGCAGGCATGAGAGGATTCAAGGCATCAGACTACAGACAGCCCTTCTATTTTCCAAAGCCTCTGGCTTACCTGATTCCTTTTTTTTTTTTTTAAACTGGACTCAAAAGAATACCTTACATAATATTTTCTGATCACAAAAGTAAACTGATTGAGAAAAGGAAAAAAAATCTTTTCAGCTATACATCTAAAGGACTTCATAAAATAAGAGTTAAACATTTCATCCAGAAAAACACAGTTTTGGGCTTCCCTGGTGGCGCAGTGATTAAGAATCTGCCTGCCAATGCATG